GCCTCAACACCACAACAGGGAAAACATTTCTCCTCACATCCAATCTGACTCTGCCCTGGCTCAGCTCAAGGCCATTCCCTCTATCCTCTCCCTGCAGCCCTGGCAGGACACACATCCCACACCTCTCTCCAGCCCTGGCAGGAGTTGCAGAGAGCCAGGAGGTCACCCCTGAGCCTCTTCTCCAGGCTGACCAAGCCCAACTCCCTCAGCCCTTGCCCACGTGCTCTAGCCCTTTGCTGCCCTCGTTGCCCTTGGCTGGACTCACTCCAGTGCCTCAATGGCCTTTGGGCAGTGAGTGCCCAAAGCTGAGCACAGCACTGAGCTGGGACCTCCCCAGTGCCCAGTCCAGGGGGCTGAGCACTGCCCTGGTCCTGCTGCCACACTCTGCTGGAGCCAATGACTGTGTGTTGAATCCTAATTAAAAATGACAAGTAGGAAATCATGGAAGAATGAGGAAATCTCTGACATATTGTGGCTTGTTTTCGTGCACTTACAGGTTTGGATTTGGGTTCAATATCAATTCTGCATTATAAAGGAACAGAACTTAGTAAGGTATAGAAAAATGGAATTTTGCCTATCAATTTCCTGCAGTTTGTGGATAAGCTAATTCTAGGCCCTTATAAAACTGTGGCACTCCCAATATTTCTCCCAGTTTCCCCAAGTCAAACTGCAAACCTTCCATGGCTCTGCCATTTTGCTTTCCCATCACCTCCACCCTCGTGAAACCTTCAGGATTGAGATTTACCACTGCTGTTTGCATATTATAGACCGCCAAATCACAGCTACAGAAGGCAGACACAGAGCCAGAGAAACAATTAGGAGTACTGATCTTCTAAATCAGTTAACAAAAAAGGTCTGGGGTTTTTAAGTGCTCTATTTTTGGGCTCAGAAGTGCCTCCCACCCCAGAGCACTAACTCACCCGTTGCAAGGTATGGGATGGCTTCCTCTTCTTTTCAACAGTGTATAAACTGATTTCTATTTCACCTTTGGCAGCTCGACATTCTTCCTGGACCCTATAAGAAACATACATTATACCTAACAAATCACCATGTAACTTCACAGTTTTACTAACATACACGTTAAAATAGTTGTTCATTGCTATGAGAAATCTGCACTAGTTCTCCTAGCACAATCACCCATTCACTCCTGGAATCACACGCTGAGGAACCAAACCCATTAGCTGAGAATGTATAATTATTTTTGAGTAAACTGAAATGAATTAAAACTATTTTCATGCCTTTTTTTGTTTCAGATGAAGCTTCAGGGAAATGTGGTATTTGAACTACTGAAGAAAGATTCAACCACAAAGAGAAGAAATTACTGTTCTCAGCTTTCTACTTTAACCCTAATATGTGGGCTTCCAATCAACCAACCCCCAAAAGCCAACACATTCCTGAGACACAGAATCGTAGGATGTTAAAGGTTGGGATGGAGTTTAGGGATCACCCAGCCCCAACCCCTGCCCCGGGCAGGGACACCTCCCACCAGAGCAGGTTGCTCAAGGCTCAGCCAACCTGGCTGTGAACACTG